CGATGGCGGGGGGCGTGGGATACCGGGGCGGGCAGGAGAGCGACTGGGTGTCTCGTCTAGGAGAGGACCTCGTGGCCTTCAACATGGGAGACGAAAAGGAAGGGGGGGAATGGAAAGACAGCGCCAAGGACCCGGAGGTGTGGTACAACAAGGTCGAGGACGTGGCGGCATGGCTCATGAGGAAATGGCACAGGCAGGAGGCGGAAGCGTCCGCGAAGCGCCAGCGCATGAGGTAAGCAGAAGCAGAGAGTACGGCCATCTCTGGACCGAAGAAAAAGAGAGTCGGCGAAGCGGCGGTGGGGGGGAAGAAACGGCGACCGGGCACTGCTGTAGAAGCGAGTAGGGCGGCCGAGGCAGCACTTGTGGCGAACTATGTACCCGGCTGATGTTGTTGCGCCCTGTATCCCTCCCTGCTTTATGCTATACTCCTGTATGTCCTTTGTATTGACTTCGGCCTCTGTGCTGTGCTTCTTTTTTTCCATGTCCTCCCTGCCTGCTCTGCTGCGTTGGATACCTTGATCTCGCTTTTGCTGTTGCTTTTGGTTTTTGTACATCTGGCTGTCTGCCCATCTGCCGCCTCTTTGTCCTGCTTGCTCCATAACTCCCATGCCCTGGTACGTAGTGCCTGGTGCTGGTACGTTACCCTTTGATTTTTTCTTGAGGCGGGTGTGGGAAGCGTTCTACTTTATATTTGTTTTTGTTTTATTTTGATCGGTTTCCGAGGGCTGTTGTCTCGAACGGTCGGTGCGATACCTGTTGTTTCCTTTTTATCGTCGTCTTTTCTTTTTCCGAGTGGTGTGTTCACTATTTTTGTTTTTTTTCCCCGCGGCGTCGTTTGTGCCGGGTTTTGAGACCACGGGCTCCCCATCTATTGTGGGCTATAGAGCTAATGTGAGAAACAACAACGAGAAAACATGTTGTAAACATCAATGTGCGCAAAACAAACCGGAGCAACCGAGTCGAAAACGCCGAAACACTCCCCACTCGGGCGCATCGATCTCAACCGTCATGATGCTGTGTACCTGTAGGCCTCAACCGACCAATGCCACTACACTATGGCTCTGATGTCCAACTGCCGGGCCGGTCTAGAGGCATGTGCTGGGAAGAATGCCATCGTTGCCTTTCGGAGGAAAGGCCCGGTCTCGCCAATGCCACACGACTCTGCGTACTCTTCTACAAGACCAAAAAGCTCAGACAGTTCCGCGAACGACGGCGGCGCCTTCATCCCTCCACCCCCCTCACTCTCAGAATGTTCGGTGTTGTCTAGCTCTACATAGCTCGTCGTCAGAAAAGGTGCCCTCTTGGACGTACGTGTTGCCAAGCTTCTCCAGAACAACCTCCCTTGCGACTTCAGACAGAGCTGGCCGTGAGACACAGGGGGGCTCCGACGTTTTGAATTGCCACTATTGGGGGGATGAGATGTCCAAAATGCCATTAATGAGGGCGCCGTCCTCAAAAGAGGTAAAATGCCACCTTATTACGGGTTGAGATTGGGACAAGAGATTATGATGCCACTATTGAGGGCATTCCACTATTCAGGGTGTCACTATATACACATCCACCACGACTGCTGGAGCGCGATCCAGTAAGGCTGTATCTTCGGTGTCCGCGTCAACCATCGATTTCGACGAAAGCCGTTAGGTCGCCCCTTCAGCAGAGCCCAACCACTGTTTTGTCCCTTTGGTTGTTGGGTTGTGCCCTTCGTTTTGGTCGCTGTGCCAGGTGTCTCATGGTTCTCACTTTCTATGACAGCTCCACACCTGTCTCGTTACTCCCTCCGGTTGCACGAGCTCTCTCCTCTCGTCTATCTCCTCTTTTCTCTGCCCCCGTTCCCTTTCCCTCGGCCGCGCGTGGATATGCGCTGCGGCGCTGCGGCTAGGCCTGTCCTCCATCGGCCGTTTCATTTTCGATTTCCATACTAATTTCAAGTAATTCCACCTTCTTATTCTCCGTCATACAAGCAAAACGGCCGATGGAGGACAGGCCTAGCTGCGGCGTCCACGTCACGCATCTATTTCCGCCGCGTTGTAGCGTTGTAGCCGCTTAGTTCCGCCGCACGTCGTTTAATTCCGCCGCGTTCGTTCATTACATCATCAACTTAGTCAATCGTCGTGCCGTCGCGCGATCTTAGACTCTACCACTTCCGAGAGGCTGTCGCTTGGATACTATGCGGACGGTAGTGTGTTGAGCAGTCGTTGGTAATGTGAGGTGTCATGCTACAGTACGTATGGCTACATTGCTTGAGTGGCAATAAATTGAAGAAAAGTCTAGACTAGGGCACATCAAGCACGTGTACACTGTTATGTACCGATTCTGGTAAAAGTCAATCGACGGATACCCTGCGAGTCGGGTCCTCCTTGACATTCGATTGTGGTATGAGTATATTTTGCACGGGTATGCAAGTCTTTCAGTGTTTCACGTATAGTTTCGAAGGACTTTGAGAAAAATGGTTCCGAGGTAGTAGACGGTTGCGGTATCAGAGCAGAATTCCTTCGTCACCGTTGAAATACTGGGCTCCCCGCCTGTGGGGAAAATAATAATCTGCACAGCAAGCAACCCTGTTCTTGCTTTTTTTTTTTGCCTTCCGACAATTGCAGATGTACCTCAGAAAACTTTCACTTAATATCTATATCTCATACTCTACATGAATATTAAACCAATACGAAGTACAACAACATAATATGTAGGACTTATTTCTACTGTCACTGAGAGTCTTTTGCTAGATTTTGGCATTTAGCAACTGACATACGATTTACTGTGAAGACAACAACAACAACAACAACAAGTCAACAAAACTTTGGTCGAAACACTGTTGTCATTGGTTATATTTCAAATTGAAGAGGAGATATGTTGTCTTCACAGTAAATCGTATGTCAGTTGCTAAATGCCAAAATCTAGCAAAAGACTCTCAGCCCGTGGTCACGAAAGTGCTAGAGCCATCTGAGGATCTAAAGAACACGCACACATATAACGAGAAAAAGGTATCCAAGAGCCCGAAGAGGTACACCTAAAAATCCCTGCAGCACCGTATGCGTGCCCAAAAACTGAACTGCACGTCCGTCCCACCGTTCGACTACAGTAGCATCACCCCCTCCCTGTCCCACTCTATACCAAAACGGAAGATTGCCGACTACAGCATAATGCTGTCTGAAGTGCTGTCTGTACAAAAACACCATGGTAGGCATGGAACAAGCAGCTGGCGGGGCACAAAGCTGCTGTCTGAAGTGCTGTCAGAATGTGTCTGCGGCCGTACAGTGAAAAAGAACAACCAACCAAAGCCATCATAGCAGCAATTGACAATCACCCGAATCTCTCCCGATCGTCTGTGTTAGGCACTGCAGTGAAAAATATCGACACTAGCTAAGAATCGTTCCACATTGAAGGGGTCTTCCACGATCAGGCACAAAACCAATGCACCCGGGTTAGCTACGCCATCTCTAACGGGTCTCTCTACAAGACCGGTGACGATGTCATCACACAAAACCAACACGGAAAGTCAGAAAAAAAACGATAAAAATTGACAACACAAGATAGAACTGTTTGTCCGTGCGCCACGGGTCCATGTCGCCCGCATGCTCCGGTGCCATTGCTCCATCCGGCGCCGTTGTAGTCAGCCCGAGCAAAACGCCACTCGACCTGCTCCGTCCGTACACGCTCTCGTTGCTGTCCTTCCCAGTCCGTTCCTCGCTTTCTCCCTCATTGCACTCAAGGTTCTTGGTCTGAAAAAAAAAAATTCTCGCGCCGAAGGGGTCAACCAGCCCAGTTCAGCTCGTCGCCACCTGCTCCCTCCTCCTTTGATGGCGAAGCCAGGTTACTGAGGCAATACAGCTCCCTCTAGCAAACCTAGGGCCGTGTAGTGCCCGTCCACCTTTCTGATGGTGTCTGCCTCCGCGCACAAAAATGAGATGGGCATCACTGCCTACGCCGACGGCCAGAAAGGCCCGCGCATCTACATTTTCCCGCCTGACCCCATCAGTGCCGACCCAACTCCACCACCACACGCACGCCTCGCGGTGGATGCGCAGCAGCAAGAAGGTTTCGGTCATCTTAGGGGAAAACATTCCTAGCTATTGGGCATCGAGTTAATTTGGCTTGGCATGACGGCCTTTACGATCGACTTTTTATGTATGTCTTCATTTATCTGCAAATGTCGGAGGGCAAACAAAATAGTAATCCTCATGGTATCCTACATGCGTTCGTAAGCCTGCTAAAATACTACTGCGTTGATGTCCTCTTGGTTCCTTGAACGAACTCAGCAGTATTTGCTTCCTTGAGCATGCAAGGGATTCCTTTCGCCTTTCTTTTCTTTTTTGGAGGCCACACAATCAAAGTATAGGCGTATGTGGCATTTTCACATCACTCGTGCGAAGCGATGCTTGATTGTTCGTCCGTCACACCGACATTAATGCATTAAATCACTGCTGCACGTCCTTCATATCGAAACATAGACTATATGCATGTATATTCCATGTTTTCTCGTGAGGGCTACTTCAGCACTACGCATGTACTATCATCATCCATTCTCCGCACGTCGTAGTTGGAAGTATGCAACGGTTCAAGGAAGTAAATAATACCAGGTCGTGGCGTTGTGTGATCCATTCCTGATTCTGACTCTATGTATACACGAGCGGATGGGCAGCACCACCCTTTTTCATAAGGTAGGCATAAACACCCCACATTGTGAACTATTTGTCAAGGGATGAAAAAACACAATAAACGTTGAGGATACGCACAGCCTTTTTGTGTTGAGGAGACCTTCCGCCCACTTTACAGAGGGTATTTTTTCTCCACAAGGTCCGCTCAACGTCGGGTGACCGGTGTTGCCCCGAGCTCTCGGACTACAGTACATGTATTCACTTTTGACATCATCGTTCCCGCAACCGTCTCCTTGAGCACACACGACTTCTCGCCATGTGCAGGCATTCATAGCCTTGCGCAACAGAGAACCTCTACCTGAACTTGTGAGCGCCCTCCGAACGCACAAATTTAGCCTACCGCTCTTTGCGAGGAACACATGATACATACACCGTCTGACCCTCCCAGTTCTTGGGATATGCGCATGGCCACCCTTGCACACGGTGGCCACCTCCGGCGAAGAAAATACAAGCAGCACCGGTGGAGTCCTTGTACCGAGTAGATTTCTAAACGACGCTGGGTACATGGAAGTGTAAAAACCAACATGGTACGCCCACCATTTCCATCACGTTGTGTATGTCTCATTACGAATGTACGGTGTGCAAATAATTATGCACTTAATTAAAAATATTGGACACTAAAGCCAAATTAGGCCATTCAAAGTATTATATTCCGTATTGCTGGTGTCGCACGAAGCACGAGAACACACTTTCCGCATTGACGGAGAAAACACATGGCATAGTCGGTTTGGGAATACTTTTTACCATTCACGGAAAGTCACCTGTGGGCAGGTTGGGGGAGAGCCACAGTTCCAGCAGCTCGCTGAGGGTAGAGCTTGGTGGGATGGGACCTGCAAGCGAATGCAAAGCTACGAACTTTTGCGGGGAACAAATACGTACGGTAACATTCCACAAACGGCTTCCTTCTCCGCATTCTAGAACCCTTGCGGTAGTGACAAACGTTTTTGAAGGACAAATCCTGATTTTATTGTGGAGAATATCCCCCTACATCGTGACTCACTATGTGACTCACCACGTACCTGTTTTTGGGGAGACCTATTTCTGGCATGGCGACTAGACTTCCACGATCTCCGCAAAATAGGGCCTGCAAGCTGCAGAGCACACCACCACTACTCTGCAGAAGAGCCCAAAGATACGACACGGCATGCACGACTATGAGTACACCCCCCCCCCTCTTCCATTTTTTTTGTACTATCGCGTCGGATCAGACCCGAAACCGCAAGGAGTTCGAGGACATGGGGGACGCGGCGCAACTCCGAATCAGGGGTTTTCCACAGGGGCGTTACGTGCGGATCCGGTTCAATGCCCTACCCGCAGAGTTTGTCACCAACTTCAGGTGTGTTGCCATGCGTGTGGAGAGGACTCGAACCTTGAGCGTGACGTCATCCCCGGCTCAACTCGTTGACTTTGCACGTCAGAACTGACCTCCAAAACGTTTCCCCAATCTATACCCGACCCCGACCCGAACCGACGCGATCCGAACGTACACAACCCGATCGAACCTACACACCCAAAGGCCGGAGAACCCCGTGATCGTTGGGGGCCTGATGGCGGCGGAGGAGGGTCTGGCCATGGTGCGGACGCGGGCGAAGCGGCACCGGTGGCACGGCAAGACCCTCAAGAGCAACGACCCCCTCGTTGTGTCGGCCGGGTGGAGAAGGTTCCAGACGCAGCCGGTCTTCGCCACCGAGGACCCCAACGAGCGACAACGGTAGTTTTTTATGCGTGCTTGTGTGTGCGCTTGTTTTTTTTTTTTTTGTACTTTTTTCTGTGTTTTTTTTTTGCACGTTGGTCGATGGAGGTGTGTTTTGATACGATTTCGGTGTTTTTTTTCATGCGATTTCCGCTTGTTGTGTTGAGGTGAGGGCGGGTGGTTATAGAGTTTGGGCCTTGGCGGTATTCTCTGTGTTGTGTGGATGGTACACGTGGACCGGCTCGACTGCCATGCTGTTATTCATGCATGCCTTCCGCGCACGGTGCCGGCAACAAGCACAGCAGCATTCAGGGGGTCGGCGGCGGTGGGTTCGGCCCCACGCCCGGGAGTGCCGGCCTTGTGTGGCAGCTGAGGATGCCACAACAGTGAACACCACGGGGCAGAGCATAAGTTTTTTGAGAATGCGTTAGAGGGAAGGAAACCTCCCCCGCGGTGTTTTTTTCTCGAGAGTGCCGGCGTAGAGGTCGGCAAAGGCAACGTCGTGTTGCGGTCGTTGGCGGGCTTCCGCGTTGCTTCCGCGGGATTCTCCGGTCTCGACAGACAGGTTGCGGTCCGTCGGGCTCTACGGCAAGGAGGGGCAACCGGGTAGAGAAAAGGGTTGATAGAAGCCTCTTCATTACGGAGGTCTTGACCAAAGCGTAGAATAGAAGCCCCTTCATTACGGGGGTATTGACACACCACAGTAACCACTACTCTGCAGAAGAGCCCAAAGATCTCTTCAGGTTCTAGAACGTACTCAATAACCTATAGTCTAGAACTGGAGCATCGGCAAGACACCTCGGAACTTATTCATCTCGACGAACCTGTACCTGGTTTCCTTGCTGGCAAAGCCGCTTTCGTTGCGCCTGGTTTCCCAGCTCCGGCGGAATAGGCCTGGAATAAACGGGGGTTCGTTTTCAGAAGAGATCCCACCGTATTGGGTAGGATTAAATATTGCCCAGGGGGGTGGGACGATATTGCAGAAAAGCCCAGTACCTCAGTGAAACATTTTCAGTATGGGCTGCTACCAAGAGTCGGCAAGGCGAGTATGAAATTGTATTCTTCTTGTTGAAGGTCTCTCTCCCACGAGCTAATCGTGTCTGTCTTGTGCCTCGCCAAGTTGATCAAGATTCCTTGGCTATTCGGGAGTCTTCCTGGGCAAGCCGTGCAGCGCAATGGTACTGTGGCGTACTCTTCTACGTTGGAGCAAGCGAGAGTAGGCCATACTTGGGCTGGCGGCAGTCCATGCTGCCGACCTTTTCAAAAACCAACATTTTCTGCACCATGTACTACAAAAGTATCAAGGCTATTGAAAGTTTTCTTCTCCGATCGATTGCAGGATCGGTCCGATCTCTCGTGCTTTTTAGCTGCTACCAAAATTTCATCATTCCAAAAAGGCGAAGTCGCTGCCACATGGGCCAAAAAACTTCTTCGTCTTTTTTCTTTGCGCCCTCTTTTGATGTGATCTTCTCAACTGGCTCGATGAATGCAGTCATAAAGTCATCAACTTCAAGTCAAGATTATTCACCAATATTTTTTCACGTTTGGCTGGGGGAGAAAATACCCACCGAATTGTCTTAAATGTAGGGTCAGATGATCAGGCATGACTTCTTGCGTACCTTTCAATGGCCAGACGCAATGAAAGTGATAACTGAAGGGGGTGCAGACAAGCTTGCTCGCATGCTGGTGCGCATGCCAGACAAACAGGTGGCTCACCTCGTCACATCACATTCGCTGACACAGCGATCCGGATATATCGAGAGAGGCATCAATCATAAGCTAGTGAGAGGGGCTTGTAAAAGCCTGGACAATATGGTGATGTGGGTCCTAGAGGCAACGATGGGGCTCAGAGATACCGAAGACGAAGAAGAGATCTTCCAAGACGACTGCCAGCCTGACCGCTTCAAGTTAAAGCCCTATCAGCAAGCCCAGGCGCGCCTGTCGACAGGAGCCGGAGGACTAGGATCACAGGCAGCCGTTATGCGAAGGTTCTCAGCTTCTCTGGGCAACCTAGTCGGCACCCTTCCTGCGGTTATAGCCGCGTTACGGGGTCCATTGGGAGAATCGGTGAGAGTTCGGATACCGGGAACCGTGTTGGTGGAGCGGATGGGGGACGCTATCAAAGAACTCAACCAGGAGCATGCAATATCGGTGGAGATTCTGAAGGGGATCCTTCCCCCGTCATGGGTTGAGTGGGCCTTAGAACCGACAGGAGAAACCGGAAGGCGTCAGCCCACCGTTGCAGAACTGGCAGCACACGATGGGGAATCTACTACGCCGAGGAAAGCCCAGCACAAACTGGGCAAGGCGATTAACAAGATACAACTTGAAAAGTTCATGGAGTCTCTGGAGCACCTCCCCCAGGAGGCGGTACCACCCACGCGGGACAACCCCTACGGAGGTCAAGAGGCCAGGAACATGGCATACGCACGAACGAGAAGCTCGCAAGGGCAAGGGGGGCACGCGTTCCTGAGAGCGGCTCCCACCGACCGAGCTCGAGAGATTCCATCGAACGAATTCGTCTACGCGACGAGACGCGCCTTGGGAGTTGAAGAATTCTTGGCGGAAAGATGTCCCAGGTGCCACAGAGGCAGGGAAGGCGAGATCATCACAACGGTGCACGCAAGGACCTGTCGAAGGGATGGAGCACAGGTCAACATGCACGAGCCGTTAAAATACGCACTATCGAGAGCACTCAACGGCCTTCGCGTCAAACACGACGTTGAAAGCGGGGCACCGTTCACGGGGGAAAGAAACCTGAGCATGGACATCGTCATCAGGCCAGGAGCCCTCACGAACGCATCTTCTCCGGGGTACCGCAACAAAGGAATACTCCTCGATGTCACACACGCAGACCCGCAAGCACAGGTACACTTGCGGAACGGCAGCGCGACCAGCGATGGAATCGCAGCCCAAGCATCCGAGGCGCGAAAGCGTCAGCACTACGCTCGTCCGGGACACGTGTCCTTTGACGAACGCAGCTTTAAACTTACCACCTTAGCCGTGGAAAGCTTTGGCCGCCTTGGAGAGGAGGGTTACGAGTTCATCGATGAACTTGCGACACATGCCGTGGGAGGAAGGGACGGAGGAACGATGGCTCTGAAAGGAGTCTTCAAGGAACGACTTCTTCAGATCGTTTCGGTGGCTACACAGGTGGCCATATCTCGGCGAGTGCAGAGGTACAAGCTCGCATTGCGCGGGCGTCAAGACGCCGAAAACAGGCGAACAAGATCGACCTCGGACCAGTCAACGCCAATGATATGGGGATGGAGTGTAGACGCATCGTAGAACGCGTTTTCGTTTGAAGTTGGCGTCTTGTTTGAGAGTAGATGTGACAGATTTGCGTAGAATAGGGTAAGATGTTATCATGAACGGAGATGAAAGGGCTTTTCCAACACGGAGATGTAGCATGCATCAAAGCATTTGTTGGATTTCAGCTTTTACAAGCGGACATCAACGCAGTAGTATTTTAGCAAGCTTACGAACGCATATAGGATAACATCATCAGGATTGTCATTGGTTTTATTTCAAGTTGAAGAGGAGATACTTTTAAGATGTAAATGACAGTAGAAATAAGTCCTACATATGTTGTTGTACTTCTTATTGGTTTAATATTCATGTACTTCTAAGTAGAGTATGAGACATTAAGTGAAAGTTTTCTGAGGTACATCTGCAATTGTCGGAAGGCAAAAATAAATAAATAAAGAAATGGCCAGACTGTTGTTGCCTTACCCCTTTTCGCGGTGTTCTCACGAAATGTTGCCTTCCCAGAGATGTGCTTCACCTCCTTACCCTGGGGGGAAACATAGAGAACGTGAAAATTCGTCACAAACAAACAAGCGTTGAATGAGACACACCTTCCTACGGAAACCAAGCGGGTACAATAACGAAGAAGATCCTACAGAACAAGCTTCAGGAACCAAGGAATGACCGGATGATCATCTCGCGATGGACCGATGACGCGGTTATTCTGGTAGAAACAGAATCCATAGCGCTACAGTGTGAAGAATCGATCGGCTGAGGCGAGGGAAAACCTACGTACGAGCAAATTCATTCGCGCCTTCACGTGGAATCCTGTGATTTCACTTTTCCATGAGAATATATTCTATACAAAGTTCCACGTACCTCGACTGCAAACCAGCTAGCGTTCTTATCATTGTCATCTCGTTGTCGTTCTTATGGTTATTGCTGTCGCTGTATGTTTTTAGTAATAGCTTCTTTTCCCATAGATGCACTTACCTGGCCCTATCTGGTCTTGCCTAGGTGTGTCTAATTTCACTCGGCAAGGCACGAAGATGGGAGCTGAGCATTCCTTGCCAGCAAACCCGCTGCTTGGCGTTGCGGTGCAGTCGCATTTCCCAGAGGTTTTCGCCGATTGGATCTATCTGCGATCAGCCTGGAAGGAGTCACCTGGAAATATCTCCGATCCTTCCTATGCTGTCCCCCCTAAAGCTCGTTCCTCTTCACGGTAAATTTTCACCCCAGTCAAGCCCACCAGCACCCTGATTTCGAATGAATAGACACGCCAGGGAAATACACTCCAGTGGTGCGACACGGTCATCCTTGATTGACGCAAGGTTCGTGGGTCCACGACCACGTAAACTCTGTAGAGGCTCCCAAAATGGGCTTGTGTATTGCCACAAACCTACCCGGATGATAAATATGTAGGGCGACCCCAGTAGTATCGCCATACGGTTTTGGTGGCGGCAATACGAACGCTGATCGTCTCTGACGAAGACTGCGCGTACCTTAGCGGTTCAGGATAAAATGTGTTTTGACGGTCATGGTTTCTGTGAACTCCGACCCCGCAGAGGGGCCAGTTTCAACGACATACTCTATCCCGTTTCAACCACGCGTGTTTACTTCGTCGCATAGTCATCCCTATTCGCAGTCAATATTCAAGTCCTACCTTCAATAGGTATTTCAGCAACCGACACTCGTGCGTTGAATGGCTTCGGGGGGTGAACACTGCACATCAACAATGAGACCCTCAGCCCGCGCTGTGTGTGCGAGCCTGCCCCGTGGGGCAGCCTCCGAACATATCCTCGTACGTGAGGCTGAGTACTAGCTCGGGGATTCTCTCCCCTGAAATTTCATAAGCTATGTGCCTGAGGATGAACGCTCAGTAAAAATATGGAACGTCGAGAATAATGGTGTAAGCTTACGAACGCATATAGGATACCATCAGGATTGTCATTGGTTTTATTTCAAGTTGAAGAGGAGATATTTTTACGATGTAAATGACAGTAGAAATAAGTCCTACATATGTTGTTGTAAATCGTATTGGTTTAGTATTCATGTAGAGTATGAGGCATCAAGTGAAAGTTTTCTGAGGTACATCTGCAATTGTCGGAAGGCAAAATAAATAAATAAATAAATAATGGTGCAATAACTAACTGCTTCTGATTGGGTCTGAAATCACCCTGTCATTACGTTTTGGATCTTTACTCCTGTGAAGAGGACCTCTTCTTTCATTCAGGAAGTCGTTCGCATCATACCACACGAGGCATCGTCTGTAGAGCCCACCAATGAAGTAGGCGCAGCTCGGCCGCTGTAGCGTCGAGCTTGGCCGCTTCCTACACAATCGTTTGCAAGAAGGCCGCCTTGATGGTTGCAAGTGGTAGATCCAGCACACGCTTCCTGCCCTTGGGTACGTTTTTCAGCAGCCACAGCAGCAAACATCGTCGATAAACATGCGTTTGCTCTTTTTTCAAAGAGGAGCAGCTTTTTGCGGCAGTGAAAGCATGACCATTCCTTGGCATGTGCAGATTGGTTCATTAGGCACGTAATCGGGCGATGCCTGTGCAGGCGAGCAGTCTCGCCGTAGGCTATATGCTTAACACGCCCCCTGCCGTGCAGCCGAACCTGACTTGGGGCTTCGAGCTACTCACGACGATCTCCCCGTAAAAAGCGACCGCCACCCTGACACTGGGGTACTTGTGTCCGCCGATGGTGATGGTACATTGAAACGGCGAGCACCTAACGGACAGGTGATTGTTCATGACGAGGGTTGCAAGGGGCGAAGGAATTGACCGGTACCATAACCGCGTGGAATCCATGTTCATAAGTTGGGTTAGGTTACCCGAGGGGTTGTTGTGGCCCGAGGGGTATCGTATATGGTATGGAGGGTCGGGATGTGTGGTGTGGATGTACGGGGTGTCTGCAGTACAGAGGGCTCACGGCGAGTGTCTACGCAGCCCATGCAGAGGGGTTTCCACAACATTTTTTGGCGTGTGTTTACGCGCGCGAGAGAGGGAGAGAGAACGAGAGACAACACACACGGTCTCCTTTGCACCTCAGTGCTGTTGCTGCTGCTGCTGCTGCTGCCGCTTTTCTCTTTCCGTTGCGTGATAGCATTAGTCTAAACCCTCAGAAACAGAAGGGCCCGGGTCGGTGGATGGGCGTGGTCATGAGTCGCCACGTTGTCGACGCTGGTGTCGCGGGACAAAATGCTGCAGCAGTCTCTCTCCAGCTCGAAGACCTCACCGATTTCGCACTCGTGCCTCAAGCTCCCTCTTGGTCACGATCTCCCATCAGCCAACCGCCCGAATTTCGCTCTGTTCACAATGTTGCCGCCGCAGCGGACGCCGAGAACATCCCGAAGAAACGCCAAGGTCACCGCCTGGAGCCTGCGCGCGGAGTGGAGACCCGCAGTGCTGCCGGTACTGGTAAGTGAGAGGCCAGGACTTCAGACTACAGCAGTAGTGGGACTGCAGGCCAAGTATAGAAGCTATAGTACTGCCACGGCAGTCGAGCCAATTCCACGGGAATAAATCAGTTGAATCAAGGCTAACGTTTGTTCAAACCAATCTTGCTGTGAGACGACCACACCCACGCATGCACCTTGAAGACTGCTGTGAATGTTGGAATTGTGAATTAGATAGCTAACCAAGTCAATATCTAGAAGCTGCACAGCTCTTATTGTGCAGTACGCTACGTATGTAGCAACAAACCGGCATTATTTCGTAGGAGTTAATGGTAATGATTCGTTCGTTCCACATCCAGATATCCGCGGGTTGCCACACGAGTGAAGCGTTGTCGAAAACTCGGTGAGGTCCTTTGCCGTAAAAGCGTCGCGGTGCAGTCACATCCGAATTTCTCCGAAATCGTCTCATCAGGTGGACGAGGGCGAAAGAGCGCACGAGCACGACCCAACAGCTCCTCCAAGACATATACAACTGGGCCGGACCCTCTCTTGTCCGACGCGTTGAAGATTGTTATGCTCTCCAAGTGGGCTACCCTCAAGTCCGTCAAGCAACTGCAGCTCGCGTCACTCTCAATCTGCAGTGAAAGCCGAGCGTGTATTGCATTTCACTTGAGAGTAGGAAGGCGGACCCCTAAACGCCTCTGGACCACCACGAGGTCTACAGGGAAGAGAGTCGGAACTGACAGCGTGCCACCCATGCGCGTTGACTGGCTGACATTCAGGGAGTGTTTCGAGCCCGCTGTGAGGAACGTAGTGTGGCGGGCAGGGCTCAGGAAGATCTCGTTTGGGAAGCAATTCAACCACCCTCTGACTGGAGTTACCTGGCCTGCGGGTTTGCGGGCAATCGTGTTTGGCTTCCACTTCGATCAGCCCATCGAGTCGGTGGTGCTCCCGCCTGGCCTCGAAGAGTTGGAGTTTGGCCCGATGTTCGACCAGGATATCAGCAGGGTGAAGTGGCCCATCAATCTGAAGAAGCTCGTGTTCGGCTGCCGGTTCAGTCAAACATTGGAGCTTACATCGCTTCCCAGAGGACTAGAGAGGTTACAGCTGGGCTGCAGCTGGAATCACCCTCTTGCGCCGGTTGCCCTCTCGGAGTCTCTGACCTACCTTCGTTTAGGTTATGACTTCGACCACCCACTGGATGAAGTGGCGTGGCCACCGGGGTTGACGCACCTCTTCCTGGACCACTCCTTCAACCAGCCGATCGGCGGGGTCGCGTGGCCTGCCCTCCTGCAGCAGATTTCATTTGGCGACGCTTTCGATCAATCCATCGCTGGAGTTGAATGGCCGACCTCCCTGCAACAGCTATCCTTCGGTTCCACCTTCAGTCAATCTCTTGCCGGAGTCGCGTGGCCAAGGTCGCTACGACGTTTGACACGTTGCGGAGAAAGCCTGATGTGAAAGCTGAGGTCTTCCGTGCTTGCGTCCGTGGTTCCATTTTGAATCATTAGAGGTTCAACCGGAGGAATGAGTGAAAAAGTCGATGGCCCTTAACGCGGGCCTCGGCGTGAAGGGGCACCCATCACACGTGCGGCCTACATCCTGGCCACCCATCTAGGCGGTTACGGAATTCGGCATCAGCGTCCACTTCACTCCACCTGAGAAGCTTGGGGTCTTCCCTGTGTCCACCGGCTGGTGGCCGCAAAGGCAGAGCCCATTCTTAGCAGATATCCAGAGCTGGCTAGACTACAAAGAGGCTGGCATCATCTCTGCAGTGAAACATGCGTCTACTTGCTTTTAGTCTAGATGGGGTTGGTTGTCGATGATGAACCCGCTCAAGCTGCTCCGTTGAAGACAAACGCGGAAGGTGTTAGGCTGTGTGAGTGTCATTCAGGGTTCACATGTATGTTGATGGTTCATCGCCAATAGGCGGGCCATGATCTCCATCTCTCTGCTGCGGAGAATATCGGCCGATGCGTCAAGCGGGCGCATGGCGCGATACAAATTGTGACCGGAAATCGACAACCTCATGGTGCAGCACCCCAAGACATCCTACGCGCAACGTACAATGTGAATGAATAAAATTCATTCTCCAAAGTTCACAACAAAACACCAATGAACGCAGAGGACCCCAATCCGCGTGTATGACCAGCTCTGATCATCGAAGGTGAGAAGGCGGAAGGCCAAAACGCACCTATGCTTTTCCTCTTTCTTTGCATGGGGAGAAGGACTCAACTCCCCCTTCCCGTAGACTTCGATGCTGCTCAACTTCCACACACATATTCCAATCAAGTCACCCTTAGAAGCGTCCTGTACTTGAAGCCATAGTCGACCGTGACAAATGCTGAGAACGCAACAGGCCCGGAGCGAAAAACCAACACTGAACGCTCAAGTGAACCCTCACGCTCGAAAATTTCCACAGCTACCCACCAATAAATGCTGTGTCCTACGAAACGACTTCGTGACTCGCTCTTGCCATATTGGTAGTGGAGAAAGAAACGCCCATCTTCGCGCAAAAATGGCCACGTGTATGCATACATATCTTGCGGCAATCAGAAATTGCCGCATCGCATACCACAGGTATGATGCCCAATCTCCCCTACGTTGGCAAAAGCTGTCGAGCGTCAACGGCGCCTCCAACAAGTGAAGTGAATGAGATCAATTATCCATGAAGACATGAAGGCGTGCCACGAAAAAAAGTCACGCCCGACCTTCGAAAACAAACAGCGCTTGTGCCTCAGACTCGTCAAAGTCTATCGCCGGACCCTCCTACCACATCCACCTCCGCATTGCGCTACAACAAGTGCTGCCAACATCAAAACAAGTTACGAACATTTTACCCTCAGGACTCGCAAGAACACAAGGCTCGACACATGCCCGAAAACAAAACAAGGGAACTCTAACATCTCTATATAGGAGCGCCGCTGCAGATTGTCCCCTGCACAAAATACCCAATTGCGTGTCGTCGTTTTTGAGGAAACCCCCAAATAGGCGAAAGCCATAGACTCGCGAGACAATACTCTCGAGAATTAGGATACACGCTACGCCTCCACCCCCCCCGCACCAAAAAAAAAAGGAAAAACGTTGTCCACTCATTTTATGCCAAGGCACAACCGCCTTCCCCCCCACCTTCGCTTTTCTCGTTGAGGAGCTCCGTGCGGCCAAAAACAGCGTCCAAACCAACCACTATGTACAAGAGTCATCTGCATTGTGAGGGAAAACAATGAGGCCTACCCTCTCCCTACTCAAACCCAATCCAAACACGGTGCACCGGAGTTTCGGCGAGTTCACGTCTTCATCAAACGTAAAGAACTTCTTGTCGGAAAACATGGACTGCCCAGCTCCTATCTTTAACTTTGCCGAACCACGATCAACCAGGCACCCTGAAAAAACTCGACGACACAATGTTTTCCTGGAAACTGTGGCACAGCAGAGCCGCCGTCCTCGCTCAACAGCCCGAACCCGCCAAGCCAAACCTTGCCGGGAAATTCTATTTATTAGCCTAGGAGAGTTCACATATCCCGGCAAGCTTTCTCACCGGGAATTTCGAATTTGTTTTACGAGAAGTCCCGGTCGGGGAATACGAGAGGTGCGACCAGAGTCCACGCGTAGATGATGTAGCAGACCCATTGGCCCGTGGTGGTGAGCCACATCGCCGTCCATCCGTTTTTGGGGTCGCTCGACTCGCCGTCCTCGTTGATGTCCCCCCAGTTCGTCAGCATCATTCCGTAGAACATGGAGATCAGCACCATCACAACGTTGAACCTCCAGCCCTGGTTGCGAGGGGAGAAAACCATGGGCGCATACACAATCATAACCAGGGGTGCAGCATGACCGTCTCTACTGACTCCACCACAAAAACGTGAATCGCGCCAAATGTGACTACAAACCGTAAGGTCGAGGGTAGGGGTCGCCCTCCTAGATACCATCGGTCCTGGACACACCAGAAGTCGTGGCGAGCCAAGTGTCCCAACCACGGTCGCGCAAAAAATCAACGACGAGTGAAACACGAAAAATTGCGCGTCCCTCGCGTTTGAATCTCACCAGTTAGCCAGGCTCAGCGAGAGCAAAAATTATAAGGGAGGCGGAAGGCCAAGGAACATGCGAGGGGTGTGCAAAACAATACGCCATACGCAACGCTAGTGCGCGCATGGATTCGGATACGGAGATGGAGTTCCCGAGCATGAGTTAATCGAGTTACGAAGAAATCCGAACCATGCACAACCATTCACATGTACGCCAGGAAGGATTTGACCAACAACAAACACGTGTCATGAAATTTGATCCCATACTTCAGAATAAATCACTCTTGGGCTGTGTAGAACTCTCATGTTCCGATCACAGGTGCAGGTTGTTGTTGCTTTCCGTCGTTCTCTTTCTCTTGACTAACGCTTTCCCAAGCCAACTCATACAGATCCCAAGCTCACACGATCACCGTATATTACGCACACTGAACAGAGGGGAACATAACTCGTTCTATAGCCTAAATTTTGCATTACGTAACGTCACAGCATCTGACGACGCCAAGTAACCATGGTCAAGCACGCTCACATGTCTACATCGAAACACCATGACAGAAACATTACCTGAGAACAGACGTTTTAGACACCGGCAGGACCTTGAGCGTTCGTACGTGGCTGGCAAGGCCTCTAGTCTGCCTTGCCAAGGGCAGTCGTCGGAATTTCACTCGAAAAATACAGCATACCACCATGCTAGCCATGCTAGAGCATAACCCCATAACCAATGGAAAGCATCAAGACCGGAATGACAAGATACCAGGACGGAAAAACAACATCGGAATGATTTTGTCTCACCAATCCACCGTCGCTCTGAGCGGCGGAAGCAGTTCCGGCCGACGCGGGGGTGGCAGGTCTCGGCGGAGCCCCAGCGCCCACGTCCTGGTCCTGGGCGGTAACGGCTCCTTGCACAAACGGCCTGGTCTTGTCGCCGCCGCCAGACTCGAGCGGCCCACCTCCGTCTCCGCCTGGCCCTTGAACCGGGCCCGGCGCCTCTTCCACCTTGAATGGCGAGTTCGTCGGTCGCGTTTGGAGGGGCATTCGACCGCCCGTTTTGGGGTGCACGAGAACACGGGTCGGTCATGTGTCCGGGAATCTGTACAATCAGAAGGCACGCTCGCTTGACAGGGGCGTCCTGAAAACGAGGATGTCGCGCACATACAAGTACAGGACCCACCAAAAGCGAGAGCGCACGAACAAAACGCTAACGAAAACCGTGAAGTACTCACCTCGTTTGCCTGGCCACCGAGCAAGGCGGTCACGGTTCTGGCAGCATTCAGCGTTACCCTGCAGCGCCACGGGGGAAAGAGAGCAGGACCAAACGAGGATGAGAAGTTTTTAGGGACCAATTATTCGCGGGAAATTACGGATGACAATGACATGAATAAATCACAAATATGGTGCGGGAGGGGGGGGGGGGGGGG